CGCCGCATGGAGTTCGCAAGAAGAAAGCGCAGTACCGGCAAGCGGCGGTGTAAATAAGGAACGGGGAAAAAAACCTCACACCAGGAGCCTCCCAGCCCTCTGGAAACAACAGCCTATGTACCCGTGACTGCCGAGCCAGCCAGCCACAACAAGACCCTCAACCCGCCGCCCCATCATTTCTAGCCCGTCGAAATGGCGCACTGGAGGCGCGACTCGGCGTGGGTGCGTCGGCGGCCAACGAGCCACCTTAACTATAATTCTTGTGGTGGGCCGGCGGCCCGCTGCTAGGTGTTTTTGTTCGTTTCCATCCCCCGAAACTGACGGCCCCCGGTGACTCTCGCTCCCTGCGGGAAGGCCCTGCCACCACCGAAAACAAGTATACAAAATGAATTTCTTTTTTTGAGCCTCGTCTTTTCGCGGACAAAAAAGCTCTCTATTTTAGCCCGTGAAGAACGTCACGTTTTCTTGGCCCGTCCGGCAGGCGCAGGCCCTTTCCCACCACGCCGCTGACCCGGAGATGGGAAGCCTAAAAAGAAGGAACGATCAAAAAGCCTGTCCCTTTTTTTTTAATTTGCGGATACACGACAGTTCTGCATCGAACGATCAGGCGGCCGGCGCGCAAAAAAAAAACATCAAGAGCAGCGCGCGGCGCTCCCCCTCGGTTTTCCTCAGCGCCATTTCAATCAGTCTTTTTCCTGCGGCCTCCTTCCCCCGCCCTCTTGGGCGAGGTTGCGGGGAAGAAATGGGCGGAGAATTAATTCGCTACTTGCGTGGGTGGTGGGGGGCGCTTGCGCAGAAACTCCCGGCAACTTTCTTTTTATGCAAAGCTTATTTGAGAGCGTTCAGCGCCATACCCAAGTCAGGCGCGATAAAAAGAAAGCACGCGCGCAAAGTTAAACAAAAGAGATTCCGTTTCCACTGCAACAATCAATTTAGAACAATAAAACGGTGTTTCTTTATTTAAAAGCGCCCCTGCGATTTAGGGGAAAATGGCAATAAAAAAATGAGCGCCTCCCAAGTGTGGGGGTCTATCGCTCAAGGTGCTGAAGTGGGAAACCCACAGGTGTCGACAGAGCTCAACAGAGGACTGCCAGTCCCGCGCAACAAGGCTGCAGCATGCCTCCGCCCTCCTCTACTAATTTTAAAATGCCTAGCTACACAATGCCGTTTGACTGCCGAGGAGGCGGCCGCCCAGCGACGAAAGGCTCCCGCCATGCAACGACTACCATCGACAAAGCTTTTCGACGCGGAGACTATCACCAATGCAAAGGCATTGTTGCGCGGCCAAGGGGCCCGGGCAACCAATAAGCAAACGAGACAAAGTTCGCTGCGGGCCACCCACCTCGTTGCAAGGGCCGGCCGACACTGCAGCTGCAACGTTCACCGCCTTGTGCTACTGTTTCGATTTCCCTTACCGCCCAGAGTGTGTACTCAGTGCGTTGTGTGTTGTGCGGCGTTTGTGTGTGAACGGAAGACCACATCACAGAAACCGCATTTCAGCTTAGAAAGGGGCGGAGGGTATTACGGGCAAAGGGGCCGACAACAATGCACGGTGAGGTTTTTGTAACCCACCCACACGGCATCACAGTACGGGCATTTCTCCTTTTGACAACTTGTGGACGGCCGTTTTCCCGCGGGAGATGCGGCAGTCGTAGGCTGCGTCAGATAAGCGGCGCCCGTCCACGGTGCACGTGGGTCGGCGCAGGAGCGCACGCTTGCAGCTTGTTCTGGCTAAAGAGCTCAAGAACGAAAGTGAGTAAAATAACTTCTCACTGTTGAGAATTAGCGACTCCAGGGCTCAGACTCCCAACGCCGTGTTTGTGCCAGGTGCGCCAGTTCAGTTCAAACAAGGTCCTCCTGCGCAATTAGACCATCGCCACTGAAGCCAAAGGACGCTGCAAAGCATAGCATACGGCGGTGTGTGTCTTGAGGCGTGGTTGCGCGCCACGCTTTGGCGGGTTTTGCGGTGAGGCATGCCAGCAGATCTGTATGCCGCGGAGTTGCTATACGCTTTTCTGTGTGCAGAGCAGTTGTTGCGTTCGGCGTCGCACATTCATTGGCAGTGTCATTTGCAGGTATTCCACGGTGTCCGTAACAAAACTGCAGATGCACTGACCGGCCAGCACACCTCAGTGTCGAGAGGCACTGCCAGATCTGGTCTTTCGTACTGTCGGTTTGACTGGGTGGGCCTTTGTTGCGGGCAGCCAGAAGGGACTGACTATATGT